ACTGCTATGTTCATTATTACATCCAACAACAGAACACCTCAATCGCTTGTTAGGAGTCATTCTTGTCTACATCTGCTCCGGCGGTGAAACAATGGCGGACTGATGACAGCTCACTCAGGGCGGGTCTAAGGTAAGACACCAGTCCAGTCTGTGCTGAAACGCTACTGTCAATCAAACTATCGTGGGAGGGGCCTTTCTGTGTGATATCACACAGACAGGCATCTGAGATCGGCTCATTTGAGAAAGGAGAAAACATTTAACCAGATAAAAAAAAAACACCGGGTGGATTTTTATCATTATAGGGTGGTTGTGTACACTGCCAACACGCATCTCAGTTCAAACTATTTGTAAAAGTGCATGTAGCATATCACACAGACAGGCATCTGAGATCGGCTCATTTGAGAAAGGAGAAAACATTTAACCAGATAAAAAAAAAACACCGGGTGGATTTTTATCATAGGGTGGTTGTGTACACACTGCCAACACACATCTCAGTTCAAACTATTTGTAAAAGTGCATGTAGAATCCTATGACCCCTTTAAAACTTATTTTTTATGTTCCACAGTTATTAAGGTTTGGAATGACATGACTGATGACAGATTTTTCATTTTTGGGTGAACTACCTTTTTAACCACTGTATTCTGATCACTAAACAGGCCTAATTAAAGACACTAGTCTGTAGTTCTCTACTGTACATAGTGGCATTTTGTAACCAAGGAGCTTTATAACTCAAGTCCACTATAGCAAATTCAAAAACGGTGACTTACTTTTTGCCTATTTATCTACAAGAATCTTTGAAAAGCTCAAAAACATCTGATTTCTAAAAGCAAGTGACATTACAGCTATAAAGTTCTTCTGGTTGTATTAAGAATCATGCGCACACATACACACACACACTATGGGTATTGATTGCATTTCGACATGTGTATCTGTCCTCTTCGTTTTTCCGAAAAGTACAAATCTTAAAAGTTCACCAATGGTTTTAAAAACAAAAATTCTATGATGGAGGGTTCAATTCAAGGCCAGTCAGACCGTGTACGTATTTTTCTCCATTACGCTGTTTCTGGAGGGGAAATGGGAGTCCCACTGGGTTCAGTGGGGAAAATTATCCATAAAAGAGAGCGTAATTCTCTATAAAAAGTTTTTAGGTCAATGGACAGGAAGAACAAAGCGAATAAACAGCATGTTAGAGTTGGGACAGATGCCAGCGCTCGAATCCAACAGTCTGGTTACACACAGTGTCTGTATAATGAGCGGTCAGTAGTTTTGCGGCTCTCTCTCCTCAGCAGTCGGTTTTGCCCTTCTCCAGTGAGCTGTGGATTTTATCCAGAGTCTTTTTGATGCGCAGGGCAGTGAGTCGAGCCGAGGGGTTCTGGTACCAGCACTCTTTCATCAGCTTCACCAGAGCAGACAGGGTCTGTAACCACATAAAAACACACAGACGTTTGTTTTCAGATCATGGTGAGGATCTGTCAACTACAATTGTTAACATTTATATATGGGAATAAGAATTGTTTTAGTCTAAAGACCGTCTGCTATAGAGTGCTGCAGGGATAATGCATTTTTATTTGCCAATCTGGAAATCTGCATCACACAGGTTCCCTCAACAAAAACCCAGTAGGATTTTTCCATTGGCTTTTGTATCACTGCAGAAAATAAACTCTGTGACCAACAAAAGTGTATTGTTTTGACACGTTTTGTTCACAAATTAATAGCTTTAATGGATTTTGAAGCCTAAATACAAATCGCTTGAAGTAAAAAGCTAAATAAACGACATCCCCCTCACATTACTTCAACATCACCACCAGCCCTCGACAACTCTTTTAGTATTTAAATTCTACAGTTGTAACGTTTTAGTTAGCATGGTTTGCAAGATAGCGATTATAAACACAATGAGGCTGTGAAAGCTGACTAGTGAGTAGACAAGTTTAACAATTTTTTTAAAATTTGGTTTGGTGACATTTAATGTCCCTGATGACCTCTGTGGTT